CCTATAACCCCCTTATACCTCCCCCTATAAACCCACCACCCCCCAAAAAAATTATTGCGGATTTGGGCTGCCCTCCTCAAGCCGCACACGACCATGTCATCGGAAAAATAAAATAAAAAAATTTAGTCAGTTTGCAGACCGCCGACGGGTCCGCCTACAGGTCAGCCGGACTGGTAGGCGTGCCTACCGCCTACGGTAGGGGTAGGCGGTAGGCGCCAAAACAACCCTGACGTACGGTCATTACAGCCATATTTGGCTCACCTTGGAGTCCAGATGCAGCGAAAATGACCGTACAACGGCGTACATTCTATTCGGGGGAAGAAGAACGTATGGTCATTATAGCCGTACTTGGCTCACCTTGGAGTCCAAATGCAGCGAAAATGCCCCTTTTCAATCTATTCGGGGGAAGAAAGTACGGTCATTATTGCCGTATTTGGCTCACCTTGGAGTCCAGATGCAGCAAAAATGACCGTACGTTTTTATTCGGGGGAAGAGGAATGTACGGTCATTATAGCCGTATTTGGCTCACCTTTGAGTCCACATGCACCGAAAATGACCGTACGTTCTTTCTAGGGGAAGAAGAACGAACGGTCATTATAGCCGTATTGGGCTCACCTGTGAGCCCAGATGCATTGAAAATGACTGTACGTTCTATTGGGGGAAGAAGGAAGTGCGGGGGCCATGATAATCTTCTCTGTGTTGCTCCAATTTTAGCGGAGGTCCCGTAGGGACAATCTGATCATTTAAAACTTTCCCAGAGCCGCAGGAGTGCCTGTATAAACTCACCACTTGTAGTCTGCTGTGGACTCTTTCATGTTGAAGAAGTTCTCAGCTAGATGACTTGCAGTTGCTTGTGTGCCTTTGCTCAGAAAATTAAAGAAAGGAAAAGGAAAAAGGCACTGACCTCCAGGAGTTAGGTGCTTGGGTGCTACTTCCTGCACAGAGCAGAGTTAGGTAGGTATAGAGTCTATAGACCCATAACCTTAGGATAGTCAAGGCTAGGTTACTAAGGTTAGTAGATTTAAGGTACGACTCCGTACAAGTGTCGACTGGATGTGACCAGTGGTTTTTGCAAGTGGGTAGCGCTTGGTAGACCCATTAAAGAAAAAAATGCACTGACCTGTCATATTGTGGCGTACTGCATAGGCACATGGGCCCTGCAGGGCCCGTCCCGGACATTCAGCCTAAAAGCCTAAAACTTAGGGCTTACAGGCCCCGGTCGTTTTAGCCTGAAAGCTGAAAAACGAGGGCCTGCAGGCCCTACTCCGTTTCAGCCTATTTCTGGGTCCCAGAGTTTTTCCAGCCTGAAACGGAGGGCCATTTTCAGGCCCTCGTTGTTTCGACCTGCCCCTAAGACTCAGGCACGTAAACAGGGATGCGGAACAGGCCAGAAATAGCCTGTTCCCACGACCTTGAGCAGGAGCTGCAGCGGCAGCCCCTGCCTCCGATCGGCATTGGCAAGAGCAGCCTCCTGGACTGCTCGCCTGCAGTCAGGAGGCACCCGTGGTAGTTCATAGGGACTTCCCAGGCACTTCACGGAAGGTAGTTGTCAGTAGGCACGATTAGTCTTCAGGATTCGGCCGCAGCACTCAGGAGGAGCGCTGCAGTAGTCTTCAGCGCTAGGCAGGGGTTAGCGCTAGCTGTAGTCTTCGGCGCTTGGCGCCCATAGCCATAGAGTAGTCTTCAGCGCTGGGCGCTGGTAGGTGGTAGATCGTAGAGTGGGAGAGATGCTGGCGGAGGCCAGTGGTACTTACCTGTGGCGCCATCGCTCCAGCTCCATCTTCGTGATACCTGCATCAAGGCGCCAACTTCACAGGTTAGTACTGGACACAGAGAGAGAGAGAGTTC